ATGATAGCAAACGGCTTGAAGTGGGATATGAGAGGAAGCTGAAGGGGCCGCATGTGAAGTCTGCATCAAGGGTTGAGACTGACAAGACGGGTCATCAGTCTGAGGAGGTGGAGCCACGCCTGAGCACTCGCCTGCCGGTGGCCCAAAAACAGGGCAACGCACTGTATCAGATTGTCAATGTGTGTATCTGTCAGAGTAACCATGCCACGTTGGAGGTTGAAGACAGCCCCGAGGAAAGTAGTTGTCTGCAACAGGATTGGCCGGGATTTGTCGTGATTGATCAGAAAACCGAGGTAGGATGTGAGATCATACGCAGCAGCAGTTACCACAACAGTCTTGACTCTGATACAATTATCAAGGTACTGGAAGATGTCAGAATGATGGATATGAGCTCCTACCATTTGGACAACCCTAGTTAACACCCTGGGAGTGGTGGAAATGCCAAAGGGTGAGTGCAATACCTGACCCCAGTATGACAGGGCATAGAAATTGATGTGTGGGAGTGGAGTCGGTCTGAATGCTGAATGAGGGAGGGCTCATGAACTCTAAGCGGTAACCATGAGAAAAAGAGGTGAGAACCCATCCATCCAAAGTTATTTCCCCGGAACCATGAAAATCTTAGATGGTGACTGCAGGGGGAGCATGGCATGGCATGATGGTCTTGGGGAGCCATATGGGTGGCTTGAGGACTGGTGAAAGGATATCTCCCAAGCACTGTTGATACGCTTGACCTCATTTTCCAAGAGACTAGAAAACTGGCCCGCGAAAAGGTCTTTGGCAAACAGGGGAACCTGTGGAGAACATTCAGGGCTTGAATCGCAGATTCCGTTCGAGATGCTGTGGCATGGAGAGAAACACGGGCAAACTGTTCGAGGCCCGTGATCAGGGAGTCGTCAAGACAATGGAAAGCCATAGTGACAAACTTGGGGATATATCTGAGTCGTCCTCACAGGCACGAGATAAAAAAATTCAGTTAGGACTCCTAACTGAATTTTTTAATAGGAGTTCATTTTTTTCCTAATAAGAGGAGGAGAAAGGACATGTAGCAAATACCCGTACAGGCAACCAGGTCAACATTCGTGAAAGCCACCTCCATGTCTTAGAGGTTCCAATCAGGGTAAGTATGGCTACATTTGCCTCTGAGTGGAAAAATCTTTTCCTTAGCCATCTCAGGAATCTCTGGTACAGAAAGGTAAGTATTATTAGTCATCTGAAGGAAACATGAAGGAACGTTTATGGTGAGCACCAACACTTGGCCTTGGCCAGTTTGTCCATAGCATCTATGCAGGCATGGTTCAGGGGTAGCTCAGGGAAGATGGGCGAAGCAGTAGTCTTGCAAGGCAAGCAAAGTTTGAAAGAGGGCAGCCCTGATCGTCTAGAGGCGTAAGAGCAGAGGGTCTCAGAACCTGTATTATCTCATGCTGGAGCATGAGGAGAGATCATTTGTTGAAAGTAGCTCGTCCTCATCAGGCGACTGACCCCAGTCAGAGATATACAAATACTTGTCAGGAATGATGGGGGGGGGATCAAAGGAACGGCTCTCAACAGATGCAGGTGGAGACGGCCTGGAAGAGAGTGGGACATCCCAGCACCTGGCATAAGATTCCCTGGAAGGTGCCAGGGGCAGGGAATAAGGCTCCAGATCCGGGTATGTAATGGCCAGAGGAGGAGCACTGAACAAGCGCTGATAGCAATTTGGAAAGGGCACATAGCATTTCCTTGGTAGAGGAAGAGCTAGTGCCTTTTGAATGCTTTGCTTTCGTCTTCTTTGAAGAGCGGTCAGAGGAAGATAAGTTGCTCAGCTAACTTTCGCTTCTACCCTGACGAAGCCCCAGACCCGGACAGTTGAGAAGAGGATGGACCGAGAGGGGGTGTGGCCGTAGAAGTGTCCCTTTGAGGCTGAGCATCATCCATAGGGCGAATGGGCAAAGTGGCCCCATGAGTGGATCAGAAACAGAGGGAGGCAGAAAGCCTCTCCACCAAAGCAGGCCCATAGTTTCAAGGGCCCTGGTGAAAGAACGGGCCGGGGAGACCACTGTGGAGTTGGTCCCAGCTACCACGCTTGGAGCCAAGTCACAGGCGGGAGGAGTGAGTGGAAGGGCCGCTGAGTTTTGGGTCACGGAGCCCGGGTGGGAAGCCATGGCAACAGGGCAGCAAAAAAAAGGGAGCCAAGGAGGGAAGCAAGGTCCCAGGTGCTCCCTCAATATCGGGCAGGTCAGATCTGGTCAGTCTCGGTCACTGTAGCAGTGAAAGACTGGTAGCAACACTGGGCTAGGTGACATGCTGCACGGAGGGGGCAGGGTAGCTTTAGCTGCATAAACTGTGACAGCAGCAAGGCCTGTGCTTTGCAACAGCGTTGTCCAGTAAGTGGCAAGTCGCGTGAGATATATGTAGGCTCCCTGGTTACAGCAGATTACCGTGGAATAATGTTACTGCCAGACATGCTCTGGTGATAGATCATGGAGAGGAACGAGAGTTGGTCCCAGAATCTTCCTACTATGGGCTAACTTGCTTATGCCCCAGACAGTTGGACAGGAGCTGAGACTGGCTACAGGAAACTTGAAGAAGGCCCAGATAAACAGTGTGGCTGAAGCCCAAACTGCTTGAATGTCCCTGCGATAGCAGTGTTATCAGACCTGACGGTATTAAAGCTGGCAGTGGAGCTTGCTAGGGTATGCCAGTAAACTTAAAGCTCAGACTGCAATGAGTCGCCTGTGGGAACTCTTGAGTGGTGCACTCAGCTACACTCCAGACGGCCAGTAGGTGAGCACAGATGGGTCAAGAGTGCTCAAAGAGGGCCCATGGGCATGCAGTGCAGTAGTATGGTATGGATCAGGAACAGACTGTCACGCTCAAACTGCTGCTAGTCGTGAAAAAAACCTCGATGCTCAAAGAGCAAATAAGCATGCTCATCAGTACGATACTGGAGCAAATAAGGGTATCGCACATTCCTACCCCAGAATGACCATAATGAAAGGAATAGTACGCACTGTCCTATTCCCGAAATACGTAACAACTGAATCCATCACACCACTGTCCCTATAAGCCTGGAGGATCCCTGGCTTAAGACGTGAGCGTAGTAACCTAGAAGAGATGTGAAGTGCCAAATATCTCCCAATCTGGGACCTAATGCACATAAATAGGGGAGAAAGTATACACCACAAGAGAAAAATTGATATACACCAAAATAACAAACACTATGTTCCTTCTTCGAACTTTATTCCAGGAACTAGAAGATATATACAAGAAGGGAAATCCAAAATATATACCAGAATAACAAAACACAATGTTCCTCCGGCAAACTTTATCCCGGTATCTGGAAGATATATAGATAAATACAAGGAACAAATGTACAATGCCAAACAGGTGAGGGAAAGCCTAGGGCAAAGACCCAATTGGGGAAAGTCTAGATGAAGGTCAAGGGGCAGTCTGCCAACTGTGCAAGATTGAATGAAAATATGGAAAAGGGTATTCAAAAAGCAATAAAAGCGTCTAAACGTTCAGAAGAACAAGAATGACAAGGGTAGAAAGAAAGGAGTTGATCGAGAAATGACACTGAAATGAAGCTTAGCAAAGGAAAAAATCAAGCTGGACAAAAGCATGTCCATTAGTACATGGCACTAAGAAAAGGAAAAAACCATGGCGGCCACTTCCACGGGAGTTGAGCGAGTGCGGGCGCACTGCTGATTGCTCCAGAATTTAGCAAATGGAGTAATGGACGAGGAAATAATGCATATGTATTAGTAATCTGCATGGGTTTCCGGCAGTGGACTTATGAATTGCAAGGAAAAAACAGAGATGCAGCAGAAAACATATTTATCTGAGACCCTTACACTCTCTTCTGAAGATGTCACAGTGAAGTTCAATGATAACTAAAAAAAATATGATCATAAAATTGAGTGGCAAACAACCAATATGTTTTCTGAATGAGCTGATTCAGATCGGACAAAATGAAATTTAACATTTCCAACACATATTTGCCAACATAGAACAAAAACTCAGAATGAAAAGGTCCATGGCCTTTTGAAGAGCCCTGAAAACTCCTGGGTTTCAGATGCTCTCTGGTGTAATCTGACCCTATTTTGTAGCATTTTGGCATAAGATTTATGACCAATGCACCACAAATTATTTTGGTTGAGTCAAGATTGGTGACACAGAGACAAAGTAGTGCAAAGTTTCAGACTGGCTTGAATATGCCACAAAGTATCAAAGGATTTGTGGGTACCCACTATTTATGTAGCCATAAATGAACTAAGGAAAAAAATCTACAAGTATATATGGGGAAAATAATGGCTGACTTAACAGTGAAGTCTCTGCCAAGACTGCCATGATTGGCCACACTCAGTGGCAGACTGTGTTCGATTATGAACTCAGTCATCAGCTCTCACACTAACATCAGATGTGGGAGTAAAGAAACTGGTCAGTGATCTTCAATGACTAGCTTTGACTGGGATCTTGGGCCATTTGGAGTTGACATATTTGTCTATGATGCAGCCCCCCCCCACATGACACAAGCATACAGTAAACTTTTGCTCAACACCTTTAAACAACTCTACTCCAACTATTTTAAAAATCAGTAATGACACAAAGTTGGGAACTCATAATTTTGGGACTAAAATTTGTAATTGGAATCAGCATTGAAAAATTGAAGTAATTCCACCAAAATTGGAATGGTTGGCAGATATGCAGTAATGGTGTGAATTCAATCAAACAGTAGTTGCCATTATATGACAAAATTAAAACTGCAAGCTCGCAAAATCAATTCCACTGGATGTATTTAAACTACACGTGCGTTAAAAATGTAGCATATTAGCTAAAAACCTAAAATACTGCCGGAAAATGGTTAACAGTTGAAAGAGCAGGAATGTTGAAATCATCAGCACCAACATCATCTTGAAATTTGATTGTCGGTGTGGCAGCTGAAAATCACTATAACAAATTTTTTATGATTATAACTGCAACACTCTAATGTACCTCTTTGCTTCTGAAATGATCCTTACCTCAGTTCTGGTGAAACCAACAAAGTCGTAAAATGGCTTCAGGAGGAAATGCATTATTTCAGATATGAACGCTGTGAATTGAGGACAAACACATTTGCATGTCATGTTGTTATAAAAATTTTGTTTTTGACAAATTTTATACCATTTTGAATTCTAACATGCTTAAAATATGAATGGTGACCCAGCAACTTTGAAAGTTGGGTAAGGGGCAAGGATGGCTGGGGGTTAATGGAGCCTTGTTGAAAGATGTTGCATTAAGTACAACTTCTTGTGCACTCTTCTCAAACTGATAATTAAAAGGAATAATTTGACCGGAACTAGTTTAACACAAATCAGGGGTCGGGGGAAATAAGCCTCCATGTATTTGTTTAGATTGAAATGGCTACATATCAATTTCAAGGTTGACATCTGGCATATGTTTCCAGTAGATAAAAATTTCTTCTTTGTTGTTTTAGCTGAGGCACCAAACACAAGCACAAATCTGCCTTAAAACCACATAAATCAACTATTATTCATGGCTAAAATCACAAAGTGAATAATATGCCTTCAAAATGGCAAAAAAACAAAGAACGACATTTGGTGCACAGGTGTCAATCTTTACTGCTAATATGCTGTCAAAATGGACTTTCTATGGTGGCATATTGATGGCAAGCTACATGATGAACTAATCTTCTGTCGCCTGCTGTCTCCATGCCCTAAAGGAGGTGTGCCCCCTAACCAATAGAGGTGTGGCATGTCACCACCAATCAAAGCTCCCATCTTACCAAGCCACCAGATCACATTGAGAGGGATCCAAAAATCCGGGAAAGTGTAGCCAAGGCCTGTGAAGACTGGCTTAAAGAAGACACAATTGTTGATGGGTGTCTCATCCGTTATGAAGTAAGCTTGGCCTGCCTGAGATGTGGTTGACAAAACAGTTTATGGTTAATTAAACGATAATCTACATGTATGTGATCGCTGTTTGTACACCTAATGCACATTCATAGTTAAATGCACTTTTCTATTGGCCAATTTTGTAATATCTTAGGGACATAAATGTAGGTACATGGAACTGCTGGACAAACAATGTCCACCTCATATCCCCACTGGTCAGCAGTAAACAGACATGAACACAGATTAAAATCTTTCCATAAATTTTTCCATCATATCTGACAGTGGACTTTGTTAGAACACACTTTTTAATTTCTGAGTAATGCAAATTACAGGCCAACAAAAAATATTTGCAGTCAATTTAAGTGATATTTCCAAGTCAAAAACGAGTCAGGTATGACAGGGACACAAAAAAGTCACCCTTTGGATGGCAAATTTATAGAAGGACCCATTACAGTACACAGATAAAAGAACATTTAACTAAACAAGCATCACACTGAAAAGTTTGTGCTTGGCTGGGATTACCCTATCACATGGATTGTCCATTCTTGATGTGAACAGTTCCATGCAAATCCATTATCATATGGGATTGTTAGGCGTGAGGTCAAAATACAAACGCTTTTGAAAGCATTCGATGCTTCATAAGTGCTAAACCCCACCAACGGTGAACATCGAACAGATGAACGCTTCAGCGAAGCTTGTCAAACCGGTTGCAGTCGAGTGCACTGTGCACTCTGCAACTTCCACTAAACAATGGACAGCTTATCGTATACCGCATCATGGGCTCCTGTGGTCTGGTGGATGAGTCATTACAATAGCCTTTTACTTTGCAGCTCTGCAGCAGGATTTAGATTGGCGGACTGTTTTTAATAACTTCCTGATAAAAAAGTGTATCGAGTAGTTGTGTCGCTAATGAAGTGTGAAATATCTGCGCTGTTGGTTTTCAGACAAGTCTTTTCGGGTCTGGATACCCTGTGATCTTGGTATTTTGTCTCAGTATCATGAGTCAAATACACACCTAACTGTACACCTGCAGAATCGATTATACTAACTTGAAATAGCATTTACCTGAATCGTACATGACGTAGTGTTCTGCTCATTAACATGCAGTCATAGATAAAACCTCTTTTTTTGCCCGTGTGCGCAAGCTGGGATCCAGCATTACGCACTCACAGGTTTTCACGTGTAGGATCGAGGAATACACGTACGCAAACTACGCGCTTCCATTTCACGGCCGCACCTGCACGATTTTAATAAGGATACATACTTATTCTTGAAGTCAATAGTGCATGCGTGCATGTTGCATTTTTTATTGTATTTTTTTGTGCTCTTTTTACACTTTGTGGTTGCACAAAATTCATGTCAGAAAACAAACATGTCGGGGTTTATACTAATTTCTGGAGTTTGACTTTACCTATTTAACTTTAATGCACCGTAAATTAAAACAATAAACACAATTTAATCTAGTGCTGCAGGTAAACCGCCGAACCAAACCAAAAATCATCAAACAAGGCACTTTCGAACCGAACCAAACTGTTCGGTTCGGATGTTTGGCTTTAATATGGCATTTCATTGATGGCGTGTGGGAATACATACGAGAAAACTTCATAAAAAAGTAACACAACGAAAAATGGATAACGAGTTGTACAGCATGCTCCACACATGCATGAACATACTGGAACTTACACTGGCCCGCATCATGAGATGCTTGTAAAAAGCATGAGGTGAGAATCACTCAAAAATCAACCAAGAACATGCAATGTCCGGCATTGTCACTGCAGAACATTTCTAAATTCTCACTACATCCAATCGTTCTCATGTATATTCAGATTTATAGTATTATATTTGCCAATATCCGAGAGCCACGCCCTTACGTTCTACATTAGGCTAATGACGTTCAAATACATCAATGATTTCATAAATGGCCGTGCAAAACGAATTTTGATTGGATGTTGATCACAGTCGGACTCGTGCTCAATCAAAGGCATCCCCCGATGGAAATTTTGCCAAGCAATTTGTTGCATGCAGCGCTTCAGTGCAGCACACGAGAAGATTAATTTTTGTTTGCACGGTGGCCTAACTTGCCTTTCATTTGGTCACATGCACGCTGTCCTTTGAAAGTTTCCACCTCAGATACGCAATGAAAGCCATATTTTCGTAGTTGAATCTATTTCGCAAATATAACCAAAACACAATTTGCTCAGAATCTAATTCGATCTTGTATTCTGTATTGAAGGAGGAAACTCCTAATTGAGCATGCTGTTTTTTCTATTTGCACATATCTTACGATCGTTTTCTTGAGTCAAGTGTGGTCCAAACACAACTGCTTCTGGTTGGCAAACACAGTCAGAAACTGTCAGACATCCGGCAGTAACTTTATATGGAATGTACTCGCAAACAAATTCTGGAGAAATAGGTTAGAAAAAAATATATTCAAATCAAAGCCGCTCGTGCATGGGGATAGATAGGAGATTCATTACCTGTATTAACATATTTTATACACAGAAATATGATATATAGGCCTATGCAGCACATTCGTAGGGAGCTTTTCTATGTCTCAGTGTGCATTGTACATGTACATGTGTGTACATGTCCGAACCCCAACCGATCTGAAGTTCGGCAAAAACATTTCTGAACCATGTCTAAACCGAACCCTAACCAACCCTTGACACCTACTTGTAGCACTATTTGATGCGGAATTTGATTTTTTTCATCACCTTCAAAGAATACTGATACATCTGACTGAAGTTCAAAATAAATTCATATTGTGTCAATGTGGATATTTCCTTTCAGAGACGATAGATCAGGCGGTAAAATGAGGCAATCATGTTTTGCATTTCCCGTCACTCCCATATAAACTTCTTTATTTTCCCGTCTAAAAACCTCTTAATGACAAACATTAATTTCGTGGCGATGTCTTTTTGTCATGAATTACCCACTCAAAATGTTTCGATTTTGTGTCTCCATCAAAAGGTGTTAACCACTACTCCATATGGCCAGCCAAGGAGGGCTGACTGGGGCCACTGAAGTTCTCCTTGAATAGGATCTATTGTTCGCAACTATGGCTGGTAGAGCCACAAACTCCATTCTTGTCTAGGTTGCTAGTGAAGTTAGACAATCCAGGGCAGACGGTTCTATTCAAACCGTTGAACTGTCCCACACCAAAAGAAGAGCCGAATGAAGGGGGATTAATACCAACCGTTGAACTGTTTCTAAACTGTCTATATTTTGACCTCACGCCTTACTGCTCATCTGCGTGAATGGGTTCTAATGGCAGAAAGGCTCGGGAAACACTAAGGTGATTGTTCCCCTTATCTGTGTATTATATACATGTTCAAAAGTGGTTTTGAGATGCTCTGTCACTATACTACTTTACAATGACCACATTGCACAGTTCAAGCCATTGCTATTTTGATGACAGTATCTAAGACATAATTAATGGTTCTCACCGCTACGTGTTTCTTGCCTGCTGACAGTCCTTCTGCTGCCAGTAGGTGTCCATTCACTAGGTTGTCCACGTGAACCCAGTTGGTTTTACTGTAAGGACTTCCTGCATTGGCCTTGTAGAATTTTATGAAGCCCTGCAAGAAAGAAATCTCTTGCCATCAATGACAAATTTACTCTTTAAGTAACAACACTATCCTCAACGTGTAATGCAACATTTCCATGTCGAATAGAAAAATGAAGTTAATTCTGTCTCATTTTTTGACACAACATGTTATTCATAAAAACCTCAGACTGTTTCCATATTCAACAATGTGCAACTTGACTGTGTACTAACATTTGACAATGCCTGCTGTGTAAATCGTACACTGACTCCTGGATACGAGACAGCTTAATTGATTCTGTCCATATAAGGAGATTCTTTTGGACAACTATAAAATAAAATGGATAGGGCTGTACAGTCAAATGTTGACTTCTTTTGAGTCTCTGACTAAAAAAAAGTATTTATGAATGGGAATAAGTATGTGCTTGACCGGTCTTGGATGTGCGTCTAAGACAAGCTCAGGAGCTAATAAATACCCATGTACCCTTGCCTGCTGCTCAGGCATTAGTCACACGTTTAAGACTGGCCAAGCAAATATTTATTCCCTTATTAGACAAAACATATACATGTAACTTAAAATTTTTCTTAAACTTTGCATTATTTCTCAAAGTATGAAAACTCTTTTGCTTTCCTGTTTGTTTCATATGCATTGAAAAGTGTACGCTTTTAAACAGAGTTATCCATGAGGGCATTGTTGCTGCGAAGTCATCTAGGGAAGACATGGTTCGGTGAAATGGTGTTTATGTTCAATTTGTGAACCCAGAAATTACTACATGGAAACATTTCTGAGACTGGGATTAATCCTTTCTTATTGCTATGCACATAAACAATGACTCAACAATGTAGAGAAAACTGAGTCCAGCAGCAAGCACGAGAAATGAACGTTATGATGTTACACGTTATGACACTGGCAATTGCACACCAACTGTGACAAGACTGCCAAAGTTTCAAATTGATTTAACAATTTTTTCTCCATTGTTGTCAATTAAGGGTACACTTCAATTTAATGAATCTGAAGGGATATCATGGCAATACCATATGGACAACTATAATTAATAAAATACTTCCTAACCACTTGCCGCCGGGGTTTTTGGTACCGGACATGTATTCTTTATACGTGTGGCCAGGGTCTCCGAAATTGGACAAAGGGAACTGGGCCTTGTAACAAAAGACTGTACTCGGAACGAAAGACCAGGCTGCTGGGCGTTACGAACAGTTTTTCACCCTCAATAGAGGGATTTCACATTAGCCCATCTGCGCATATCCACATTGAAACCGAGGCTTTCTGTATTGAACTTCATTGCACGCGCCCGCAGAGTTGACACAGTACATGCAGTATCTGGTTCTTACGTGTGGCGCCACTTCAGTTTAAACCAAGCCCACTGCACAAGATACACGACCATCGCAGGTACATTAGTTCGTGGTAAATTGCCCTTATTTTTTCTTTTGATTTTACGTGTTGAGTCATCCTGAAAGACTCTTTCACAAAAATTAAAGCCTGGAAAGTCTTCATTTAACATACCTTTTCTATACATGTACATGTAACGTCCATAACATAAAATGTAACGCCTGTAACAACTTTAATTAACAAATTGGACAATACAGGGGTATTGTAACGCATAACGTCCGCAATATTAATTTCTCACACTTGTGGCAAATTAATCAGTGAAGCTAAAACAAAGTTTCTTTTCATGTTTAATACTTGAATATAGGCTACAAATATAAAAGCAAATAAATTGTTTTTTCCACTAAAAGTCAATTTGTTTACGAATTCAAACTTGAAAGTTGCACACAAATGTAATGTCCATAACAATGGCATTGCCCACATGGCTGTACAGCCAGGGATGGAATGAGGCGTATGCTGTGGGGTTCCTATCTGATGTGGCTATCGGCGAAGGACAGTGATTTCAGTTTGCTGTCTTGATGTGAAATGGTATTAACTGCCAGTAAGAAGGCTAACTTAACTGTAGTGTGTCGTAGCGAGGCCTTACTGAGGGGCTAAAATGGAGGGCCAGCGAGGAGCTGCAGGATGGTTGATAAGTCCCAGGAAGGAACTTGTTGTTTGGTAGGGGGGGGCTCCGCAAACATCCCTTGGAGAAGATGTTTCAGCATGTCATAATGCGATACAGTTGAGCCATCAGGAAAGCCATTGTGTATAGCTGCAATGGTCGACCGATAGTTACACATGGCTGCTACCTGTAGGCCCGAGTTGAAGGGGTAGAAGGAATCGACCATGGTGGTCACAGGAGCTTTGGTCCAATTAAGACTTTTCTCAGTACACCATGAGGCGAAATGTCATATTCTGCTACTGTAGATGCTGAGTGTGGATTGGCGTTGACCTCCTTGCGGCCATCTCGGCAGCTTCTTCAGAAAGTCCTCTTGATCAGATAATCCTTTGAAAAGGGCCAGCAAGTCAGGCATGGGACACTGGTTGAGGGTAGAGCATGCCCAAATTTGGATGGAGAAGGTCTGGCCAGGAGGGAGGAAGGAGTTGTGTCTGAATGAAAAGTTTGGTTAGGCGAGGGAACAAAGGCTGGCATGGCCAGAACGGGGCGATGAAAAGTACCTGGCAATGCTTTCGTTCCATTTTGCAGAGCACTGCCGGCATTAGGGATATTGGTGGAAAGGCATAGGGCAGCATCAATCCTGTCCCAGTTGATCTGGAAAGCATTGTAGCCCAGGACTGCAGGTGATGAAATCTGGCGCAGAACACTTGTAGTTGAGCATCCTCTGCTGAGGCAAAGATGTCAATGATTGTGCAGTGTCCACTCTCTTGGTTGTATTTTTCCCTAAGAGAAGGTATCTGTGATAGTGTTGTCAACTCCTGGGATGTGGGTTGCTTGCAGCTCGATCCCTTGGCCTTGTGCCCACAGAAACATCCATCTCATTGAGAGGCATTGATGAGGTAAGTGCCTCCTAGACGGTTTATATAGGCCACTACTGTGGAGTTGTCCAAGCGTATCAGGACCTGTTTGCCCCTGATGCTCAAACGGAAGTCTTGTAGTGCATTGAACACTGCTTGGAGTTATAGGACATTGATATGGCTCTGCTACCGTTGAGAGGTTCCCACATTCCTAATGTTTGGTGTGGGAGTAGGGGGCTCCCCATCTGAGGTGGGACGCATCTGTGGTTATTGTCATTTCCAGGTGTGCCCTTGGGAAAGTGATCGTCCAGGTGAGGTATTCTCTTATCAGCCACCACTGAAGGTGGGGTGTACAAAATCTGTTACAAGGGCGGGTAACACAATCAGGTTCCACTTCAGTTGGAAGGCTGCTAGCAGGTGGAGCAGTAGCGGTCTCATGTATAGTTGACAAAGGTGAACCAGGTCTACCATGCTGGCCATCAGATGAAGGAGGCAGAGCAAAACTTGGGCTGGGGCCAACTGTCTGCTGGTTAAGGGGCTCGTGCTTTCCAAGAGGTTGTCGATGCGATCGCTCATTAGGAAGGTTATACCTCATTGAATATTGAGGGCCACCCGCAGGTATGTTGGATGTTGAGGAGGGATGGGTCTTGACTTTCGGTGGTTGATGAGAAACCCCAAGTGGTTTGTGAGGTCATAGGTGAGGTGAGCAGAAGCCGCTGCCTCACCTAGGGCTCTGCCAATGATGAGCCAGTCGCCCAGGTACTGGAACAGCATGACATCTTGTTTTCAGAGACAAGCAGCAAGGATCCTTGCTACTCAGGTAGACTCTCAATGACGTTGAAGGGCCAAAGGGAAGGGCCGCGGACTCAAACATCTGTCCGTTGTACATGAAGTGAAGAAACTTGAAGTCTTCTGGGTGGATTGGGATGTGAAACAGGCATTTTTCAGGTAGTGACAGGGTTACCATTTCTGGTATTTCCATGCAAAATTTCTTCAGGTGGATAAATTTAATCAGTGGTTTCAGGTTGATTATGGGTCTCGATTTGCCAGGTTCTTTCTTCAGTGTAAGGAAGAATGTTGAGATGAAGCCTTTGTTCCTGCGAGTACAGGGCTTGTTTCTGAAGGAGAGTATCCATCTCGAACTCCAGCACCTTTTATTTGAGTTTCTCAAGAGGAATTGGAGTCAGATGAAGGAGCAGGATGGATGGAGGGTGCTCATGAAGTCTAAAGAATATCCAAGGGGACAGTATCGAGGAATCCATCTGTTTGAGGTAATGTCTCTCCTGAACCCTGCAAACGATTATAGGCGGCCCCTGATGGGATGTAATCAGGGGTGGCGTGGGACAGTTGCTCTTCCCTTTTGTCCCTTCTGTGATGATCTTGTGGGTTGAGAAGAGAAGGGGCGCCCATGACTGGTGTACTGTATGGGTGGATGGAGGGACTGAAAGGGCCAGAGTCGTGGTGCTATGGACCCGGCTTTAGGTGTTGGGCTCAAGGGTCGTCGGCTCAGTACTGGTGTGGTGGTAATGGAGGGGATGGTTCACAAAAGCTTGTGGGTGGTATTGATCCACTTAGCCTTGGCCTCCATTGTCCCCATGAATTTTCTGGCGAAGAGGTCCTTGCCATAGAGTGGAAGACCTTGGAGATTTGACTTGACCTCTCCGCAGGGGATATTCATGGCTTCAAGAGCGTTGGATCTTCAAGCAGTTATTGTGGATATCCATGCAAATTGGTCAAAAACTGACCACAATCCCATGCTATCCAACAAACCATGAGCATATACTGTATGTATGTATAAGATTTTCCATGTGTTTCCTTGCAGTCCATCCATACCAAACTATTTTTCATGCGTATGAGCGTTGTGAAGTAGCACAGTAGTATTTTACTGATAAAGTCATTCAGTGTCAGCTTGTTATGGTCAAAGAAAGATTTGTGGACAGAGAAGGGATATGAAAATAAGGAAATAGGAAAAATAATGAAAAGGGCCGGTTAGTTCTGGTGGTGCTTTACTTTCCTTTAGACAGAGAATAATCACTAAAAAGGTGAATGTACATACAGTGCATATCTCAATACCCTCCTGTCCCATCCAGTCTTTAAATTGGAGAGGAATAACACTTGCGCATAAGATCATAAATGGTGCCTCGACAGATAAGTTTTACTTCGGCTACGGCCGTTCACCATCATGCATTTACATGATCATGCAAGCAGTGGCAAAACCTTGAAGCCAACTGGCAGCTGCAGCAAAAATGAAGACTTGTACTGTAGCAGCACGTCCCATGGGATCTCGATTTTGTCAGGCTACTGTAACTATCCATTTTGCAAGTACAACTGTAAGATTATTTTTCAGGTACGAAATGGCATAAAGTACATTTTAAAATTAGCCTCAAGCTGGTCTAGGTAAAACATTTTGGAAAAAAGTGCATGACCAAGACTAGCATCATCAGGGGTTAACCACTACCAGCCGGGGACTCCGGGATCGGAGCCGTATGGTTTATATGTGTGGCC